AGAGAGATAGAGAGAGAGATAGAGAGAGAGATAGAGAGAGAGATAGATGGAGAGAGTTAAAAGACAGGGAGAGAGAGAGAGAGGGAGAAGGAGAGGGAGAAAGACAAAAGACAAGGAGCGAGAGAGAGAGATAGAGAGGGAGGGATAGAGAGAGAGAGACAAAGTTAAAAGACAGGGAGCGAGAGAGAGAGACAGTTAAAAGACAGGGAGCGAGAGAGAGAGTTAAAGACAGGGAGCAAGTGAGCGAGAGAGTTAAAAGACAGGGAGCGAGTGAGCGAGAGAAAGAGAGAGTTAAAAGACAGGGAGCGAGTAAGCGAGAAAGAGAGATAAAAGACAGGGACAGAGAGGGAGAGAGAGAGAGAGTTAAAAGACAGGGAGCGAGACAGAGAGAGAGAGACAGTTAAAAGATAGGGAGCGAGCGAGCGAGAGCGAGAGAGAGTTAAAAGACAGGGAGAGAGAGAGAGAGTTAAAAGACAGGGAGCGAGAGAGAGAAAAGGGAGAAGAGAAGGGGAGACGGGGAGAGATCTTCTGCCAGTCTAGAAGTCATCTGTTGTCTGCATTCAAAACTCAGTTTAAACCTGAAGCAAACCAGTTATGTTTTCTGCAGCAATTGCTGAAAGCTGTGATGTTTGAATTGATAAATCTGAGACAGTTTCTAAGTGTATCTGTTACTCTGTACTCCTTACTAACCAGTGGAATCAGCTGGGGAAAGGCATATGAACATAAGGGGTCTGGTCATCCAAAGAAGGATCATTTCAACATCAGAACCAGGAAGCAAAGAATACTGAATTGACTTTCCACTATTCCTGTATCTGCCAACAATCCATTTTCTCCATTTGTTTGCATAAATGGGATTTTATAAAAGGATTAGAGTTTTATTTATTAGTGTAAAATGCCAATAGTATATACCCGTTTACCTGTAGTGAGCGTCTAATTACACGTAAAAAAAAATTCTGTTTAGTATGGAAACCAGGTCCATATTTTCCATCAGCTTTAGTAAACAGAGGTACTGTATACATTTTTAGGAAAAGCTCTAATGCTTGATATTTGATATACGCCTGGGAACAGCAGGAATTGAGTGAGGCATAACAATTGCCAATTTGAAATTCCAAAGTACATCGTACTGATCTTGTTGAGGATATAATAAACAATGCTAAAATTTGCTAAACACTACTTCTGTTTCGTCAAACTAAGTTGACTCTGGTTGAGTGTGTTATTATTTTCTAAATATTCTATTACTACTTCATTAATAATGGCTTCCAATTTTTCTATACTGCCAGACTGTTAGACTTACTTCCTGCTTTCTGCTTTCCCATTTCTTAAATAGGTGCTTTACTTTTGCAGTTTTCAAATTCACTGGGATCTTTCCAGAATCCAGAAAATTTTCAAAGAGTACACAAATGCAACCAACTATCTCTGCAACCACTTCTTTTGATACCCATGGAAGCAGACCATTAATTCCCAGGGATTTTTCAGCCTATAGTCACATTTGCTTACCCAGTCATTCTGCTCTAGTGGTAGTGAATATTTTAAGAACCCTCTCCCTTTTGCCCCTTGATCTTCCTCGATTACTGGATGCTTTTTGTGTCTTCCATTGTGAAGACTATACAATATACTTGTTCAAAGTTTCTTGCCATTTTCCAGATCTCATTAATTTCTCAGCATTATCCTCAGCATTTTTTTAGCTAGCTAATCTCTTCCTTTTCTGTGATAGATATCATACAAGTTTATTCTTATTTCTATCAATCTGTCATCTGTGTGTTTTCAGATAAAGAGACTTTAATTCCGTCTTCTTACCACTGTTCCCTGCTGTTAATCTATTTGCTGTTTCATTCTTATGTTTGCACCTCTACCCCTTCTAACATTCACAGTGCATCATTACCTGGATCACTATCCTGCACTAATTTCTCGTCATCTCTTCTTAACTTTCTAAATCAGCCCTCACAAGCCTGTCAGCATCTGTTGGGCCTGAAATATATAAATGAAAGTAGTCCAGGACACATTCTTTAAAAACATTCCTCATTGTGAATATATTGCAATTATTTTGATCTATCACAGAGTAGTTTAAAACAAAAGTCACTGAATATTATTATTCTGCTGCTCTTGCAGATCTTGCAGTCAGCAACAAAACAACAGCATTCGGTGCTGGCCTGGAAGAAAGCTAACTGCAAGATCTAACAATTATTGTGATGTAATTTTTCCTTTCACCACGGTAGCTAAATCAGCCTTCAAGGCAAAGTGATATCACAGCATGCAGAAGAATAACATCAACAAGCAGTTAAGCAGCCAATCACAATGAAGCATTCAAGCACAGCAAACCGGGAAGTGAAAAGACTATAACAACCCTCACTGAATTTAATTTTACAGATAACTTATATAGATATTTCATATTTTACAAATTTATATTTGTCATTCAATGAGGTGCAACCTTTTTTAAGGGTTCTTATAACAAGTCTGATAGTGGAAGAGTGGAGTTTGCATCAAATCAATTGAATTTTTCATTGATTGGTATCTGGTTAAGTGACTCTTTGGGATGCAGACTATATGAAAGTGTGATTTAAAAGTTATTTCAAAGTTTGCATTTATTTTTGAGGTGGATCCTAACTGAAAGGCAAATGGTGGACAGCACGGCGGCTCAGTGGTTAGCACTGCTGCCTCACAGCCCCAGGGACCCGGATTCTATTCCACCCTTGGGTGACTGTCTGTGTGGAGCTTGACATTCTCCCCACATCTGGGTAAGTTTCCTCCAGGTGCTCCAGTTTCTTCCACAGTCCAAAGACATGCAGGTTAGGTGGACTGGCCATGCTAAGTTGCCCGTAGTGTCCAAAGGTCTAGGTGAAATAGCCACGGGGAATGCAGGGATATGTAACAGGCTGTGTCTAGGTGGGATGCTCTTCAGAGGATCAGTATGAAATCAATGGGCTGAATAGCCTGCTTCCACACATGAAAAAGGAGAAGGAAGCAGATTCCTGCAGGGTTTTTTTTTTCCTCTTTTATTCTTACTAACTAACGTTCACCCTTCCTATTCAGATTACTGTAAATATACATATATTTATATATTTCTCACATATTTACTTGGGTTGCACTGTGTTAGTTTTACCCTCTTGAACAAAGGAAATTGAATCCTGAGCCAGCCCCTTCTTTCAGTTTTTTTCCATGTTGCATCAAGTTGTCATATTGCTGGTCAATCACCCTTCACATCAAAACAAAACACAATTGTTTTGGGAGTTTGCAGGTGATCTTACAGCTGGATGCACAGCCTGCTGTAAACTTGCCCTTTGTTTCAACCTGGGGACCTAGCACCAATATACAGTGGCATGTCTATACCACAGGCTGGATTTGAGTACTAACTGAATGAATGTTGAGCAAAACAAAATGCAAAAGAAAACCACAAATTCATTTGTTCTTATTCACTGCAACACTTAAAACTTTCCTTTGTATGTGCGCACCCTATCTCAATACACCATTAACCCTGACCTTTAACTAATGTGGCATTTTGTTTTTAACAGTTATTCTAATTCTGTTAAAGGTCCATCAGTAGTAAATAATATTTTTGAAGTGTATACCTTTATTCACTGAAGTCTTCCACTGAAACTGATTGATTATTACCAATGATAACTAAAAAAAAATCCTTCCGTATAATCCATCTAGGATGAGGAAGTAGGGTTTATAATATAAAGTTTTATTAACAGATATTGAAACACATCTGAAAACAATTAGAGAGAAAAGCTGCTCAAAACAACGACAAGAATGAGGTCAAAGATGACTTAGTTGATTATTACATTGAGAGGCAAGTATTTGAATACAGACCAAACTATTACAGTACAATGCAAGTGCCTTCTGAACCATAATCTGAATGGACCTATTAAGAGTGTTGCTATGTCAAATGAGTTTGACAAAAATGCAAAGCATGTTTTAATCACAGCACAGGCATCATACAAAGAGAAATTTAAAAATCCTAACTCCATCACAAATTTATAATTTTTCCAATTCAAATTTCAAAATTTACTAAGTGAAGATCTAATATTACTCCATGATTATGTGTGTTTCAGCAGCTTATAAAATCAAGACAAATCAGCTCATGTATTTTCACCTTTTAAATTTATCTTTTCTGTCTTTTACTTCATCAGCTTCATTGTGGGAGAAAAGATCAACAATACGCGAGGCCAGGGTCCCATTGATACAGTTCATATTGCAAGGAGTAGCTACAATGGCACTCATATTTTTATGACAGTATTGCATGCATTCTTCAACCTGAAGTAACAAAAACAAGCATAACAAAGGCACTCAGTGATTAATTCACAACCGTTCTAAATAACTAACAGGCTTTAGATATCTCAAGCAGAAAAAAAAATCAAAACTTCTTGCTGGTTTTATGCCAGTCTTGTTTTTTATTTTCAGATTAAGGCAAAGTTTCATTTTATTGGCCAACAGGAACCACATGTTATAACACACCATATTTCTGCCATGATGACACAACCTGTTTTTCTTCATGGCACTGAATGAACTACCTGAAATATGGCAGTACATAATGAGCTTATATGAGATTGAGTATTTAAATTTAATTTCAAATTGAACATTTGTCCTGATGTCTTTTTAGCCATTTCAAGTATGATATTTGTTTATGAACCTTAGTTATGACAGGGAGTTTAGAAATTAAACATAACCAAAATGAAATGAAAACACTTTTAGCTTAACTACCAAATGTTGTAATGGACAAACCTACTGCTAAAGAACTTCACACATAGTAGCTTCATCACCCTATCATTTTCATTTACTGTTATTACAGCAGACAACTCAAAAGAAAATATTGGATTTGTGCTGCATTTAAATATTTAAATTGTTTCATAAACATATCCTATTCATGAAAGCAAAAATAACTGATTAGTTTAGGACAGGCAGAAACATTTGCTAAGAAACATTTCCTACACAAATGATAGTCATGATAATTATGAAACTACTTGAAAACTGAGGTCTCGATAACTATTGGGCATGGTGAACTATTGTGAATATTATCTTAGAAATTTGCTGTATATCTCAGGCACATGTATATAGTACATTCTGAAGAACAATACAAGTACTTTTTCTCGTATCTGCACCACATGTATCAGGAGAAAAAGTCTGGCTGACTATCCGAGAGATAGAGGAAGACAACTAAATTGTTCCCATGCCCTCAAGCCCCCAATGAGAATCAAGCACCATATAAACTGCATAGTTAATGCACATCCAGTTGCAACTTTACAACTACAGAAGAACGCACATTATTGAAAGTTACACTTACCACACTTTTTTTTTTTAACAAATATGGAATATTTTATTACTCTTCATAATAATCAAATAGCTAATTCCAGTTAAAATAAATATACATTTCAAATCCAGTTAATCAGTATCAGACTAAAAGGCAAATATACAATAGTAAACCAGATAAACTGTCAAATTAAGTGATATTTTATCCAAAGTTAGAAAAATTAATGCACTCACCAAGGAATCCATTTTCAAAAATTCAGATGAAATGAGGATTGAAATAACATTACTGGGCTCTAAAATAAATAAAAAAGCAATATTATACTCACTTGATAACTGAAACCACAAGCTTCCTAAACAAAAAAACAGATCTAATCACAAATCACATATTCAGAATAGGCAAAATAAATTCTGCTAATTCTGTAATTGATGCTACAAATTTTACTTAAAAATTTGACAAGTTTGCACTTGCCAAAGATCTTAACACTTATAGGATATTTTATATGTCTCATAGAAAACAATCTGTCAAAAACCTGTGGCAAGTTGACAGTACAATTGTTGTAATTTAGTTTTATCATCACCAAATTCTTGTATTTGGTGGACTCTTACTAATAGGAAAACACACTGGGAAGAAAAACCACTGCCTAGGTTCTTAGGAATTTCGTAAGTGCAAAACTATTCATTGACATTCAACTTTTATTTCATCCATGAATTCCATGCTAATTAGTGATTTATAAAATTTCATGATTAGCATGGACCAATCAATTAAACCATGATCATAGCTCCTTGTTAATACTAGAAACTAAACAAAAGCAGCAGAATTAAAGTTTAGGAAAATAGCTGGCCTTCTGATCCTGACTGAATTTCTGACCTCACAAAACTCAGGCTGTTAGTCTACAGCAGGATCACATTGACATGAGCATCAGTTTTGCCACTTGAACATTCTTCTTCTTCTTCAAGCTTGTCCCAGCGCACAGTCCAAACCACCACCAAGATCCTAAGCCCTGCCTATCCCCCATGACCTCCTTGCTCCAACACTGAGTTTTGAATTAATTTGCATTCCCATTCTGACCCAACATCAGACTTCACAGACTCACTGCTTTTACCCAGACCCAATTTTTGATTCACTGACATTCACATAAATTATAGATGTTTGTGGATGTGCCAGCATTATACATGTCTGGTATTCTGGAATCGCCTATACATAAGCAGGAAGACAATCCCAGGATACAAGCTATAAAAATGTGTAAACCTACCCAAACAGACACCAGCTCTCCACCTCAAAATCAGCTGCTTCCAATGTCAACACCCCCATCCCCACCATCTTGGTGTCCACATAGCTTCTCTTTATACCAATTTTACAATATTGCAAAAATTACCTTCTCTCATTTAACCTCAGCCTCTTTTCTACCTGACCCAAATCCCTAATTACCTTTTGTTTCAGCTTATTGAATTTGTTTAAATGATACAAATTTGATAAAGGAGTACACAAACAGTTGGAATCTGAAGGAGAGATTTACAGTCAGATCAAAAATCAGGAAATTAGATTTGAAGACAAGCCATTCATAAAGACTGTAAGACTATCCTCAAGGGAAACAAAGTGGCTCTTGGAGGAAGAGATACGAAGATGTTTCCAAACTTCTAGGAAAACAGTCCACTTCAAAACTAGCAGTTTGAGTTTCATACTGGTGTACTTTGCCATGTTCTTCTCATTCGGCTAGAGTCTCACGTGCCCTCTATTCTGTACTTGAACGTGTGACAGCATTGGTCCTCGGCCAAGGAAACTGGCGTTGGAAAGTCAGAAACCTGGGTAGCCAAGAACAGGTGAAGAAACAACTTCTGCTTGAGGATGCAAAAGGAGTTTTCACAGGCTGGGGTCCAACTCCATGTGATACTCCACGAAGTATCATACTTCGCATATACTTTCGCAACTACTCCTGCAAGCAACATCTAATTTCCTGCCTTCATTGCTCAGATGTTTCAGTATAGGAGTTGGGGCGCCATGTTGAGGTTGTACAGGACATCGACGAGGCCTCTTCTGGAGTACTGTGTTCAGTTCTGGTCACCCTGTTATAGAAAGGATATCATTAAGCTGGACAGGGTTCAGAAAAGATCTACTAGGATGTTGTCAGGAAAAAAGGGTTTGAGTTATAAGGAGAAGATGGATTGGCTGGGACTTTTTTCACTGGAGCATAGGAGGTTGAGGGGTGACCTTATAGAGGTTTATAAAATCATGAGGGGTACAGATAAGGTGAATGGCAGGTGTCTTTTTCCTAGGGTTGGGGATTTCAAGACAGGGGTCAAATTATTAATATGAGAGGAGAAAGACTTAAAGAAGACACAAAGAGCAACTTTTTTTACAAAGAGTGACTCATATGTGGAATGAACTTCCAGAGGAAGTGGTGGATACGGGTATTGCTACAATGTTTAAAAGACATTTGGGTAAGTACATGAATAAGAAATGTTTGGAGGGATATGGGCCAAGCGCAGGCAGAAGGAGCTAGTCTAGTTCAGGATTATGGTTGGCATGGGCTGGTTGGACCAAATCTGCTTCCCTATTGTATGACTTTATAACTTTAACTTTTCTTGTGAGCAACAACTAGTTGTTGATGTTATTAACAATTAATTTGGTTTGGATTTACATCAAACTTAACTCTCTGGGGTGACAGCCACTGAGAATGGTTATATTGAGAGAGATATGCAGAGCCTTTCCAGGGTCTCTAATCATGTCGTTCTCCCTTGGGCAAGTGCTAACCCACGAGATTCCTGTACCAATTACCAGGAGGAGTTCTTAAGATGGTTTGCAACTGCATTGCTCAATGTTATTTAAATTTTTTTCATTCATTCACAAGGTGAGGGCATTGCTGGCTAGGCAGCATTTATTGCCCATCCCTAATTGCCCAGAGGGCAGTTAAGAGTCAACCACATTGCTGTGGCTCTGGAGTCATATATAGGCCAGAACAGGTAAGGGTGGCAGTTTCCTTCCCTAAAAGGCATTAGTGAACCAGATGGGTTTTTCCGACAATTGACAATGGATTCACAATCATCATTAGATTGTTAATTCCAGATATTTATTGAATTCAAATTCCACCATCTGCCATGGCAGGATTTGAACCAGGGTGCCCAGAACATTATCTGGGTCTCTGAATTAACAGTCCAGCGATAATACCACTAGGCCATTATAATCATAACTAGATTAGTTCAATCAGGTTAAACAATCCCATTCAATCTTTAATTTGAAAATCAACAGTCTCAAGGAATTCCAGGAAACATCAACCTAAAATTTGAAAACTAAATTATGGCTTCCACTCATTGGGGCCAAACTCTACCTCTCTGACCTCAGAAGCAGAAACACTACCAGTGTGGCAGTTGTTAAACCTTCCTGATGTTAATACACTCCTGACGTCAATCCAACAATCAGAGAATATATTTTAATCTCCACTTGTCAGTACTGCCTGGAGTGAGACACAAACGATTTGGCAAAGGATTGTTTCCTTTTATAATATCAGTAGCATAAAATAGTACACAAGGCATCTATTTTGACAAAGTAATCTCTATGACCTATCAGAAATATGAACTCAAATTTACTAAATAAAATTATGATTTTAATGTACCTATTATGATTTCTTGATATCCAAATGCTCTCATCTAAATCCAGTTCATGTACTAGAACCTCAAAATTGTTGCAATTTATTTAATTGCATTAGCTGTAAATACTCTATTATATGTCAGTATATTGTACATTCTGAGCATTCTATTGCATATGGAGTGTGAGGAATGGATTGCTCTTCTCACAGTAGAGCTACTCTTGATGGTAGGGAGCTGGCTATATACAACGTAAAGCCCTAATAAAGAACTTATATCATGAAAACAGTCAGCTCAAGGAAATTATTACAGGTTACACATCCATTTGGAGTTACCATGGGAAAAAATAAACAATGGTATCACGTTGGTGTGAGCTTTGCTGTCATGAACTATCAATAAGTTGACATACCTTTCCAAGGGAGTTAACAAACATCTGATGGTGCTTAAACTCCTCCTGCATTGCAAGAGGTGAACAACTTTCATCAGTGTATATGCCCTAACGTGATCAACTTAATCAAGTCAAGGATAAATTCTACAATGACCTCCACACCTCAATTGCTGCTGTACCAAAGTCAAAAACATTTGGTGACTTCAATGTAAGAGTTGGTACAGATCATCAAGCAATGGGAAGAAAATATTGAAAAAAATTAGGGTTGGCGGTTGAAACAGCATTGGCTTCCCCTTGTTAAAGGTGTGTGCTGAAATGAACTCTTGATTACCAATATAGTTTTCAGTCTCACTCATCACAATAAGATGTCTTGGATTCACTAAACATTGACAGCTAATCAAGAATCATCAGGCATAAGGGCAGATAAGATGATTGCTAACAAAGACATGTACAACAGCAACTGCCAGACTGACTGCCGTCTTATCACTTCAAAGCTTAAACATCACCAACCATCACCTCTAGACACCCTGATAGCACAAAGGTCCAGGAGAATAGCAACATCTCAAGATTTAAACAGTTAACCATGAAGGAGTCTCTCTCAGAAACCAGACAGTCACATGTGTATAACAAAAATGAACAAACTGCACTGAGAATGACTAGGCAGCTTTCAGGACTTCAGTACACCCCATGCATACAACTAACAGAACACTCCACTGGACTGCGGTTTTTATAGAAACAGTCCACCATTATTCTCAGTTTCCAATAAGTTCAATCTTTGTTTCACTGTTTTAACATGCTAAAACCAAACATTTGCGTCAACTTCCTGAAGTGACTTTCAGCAGTACAGCCCACTAGTGATTCTTTGTCCTGCTTTGCCAGGGCTAATTCTGGTGTCCTTAAATCACTACAGATTTCTTCTCTTTGATCAGCTTTCCCCAGTATTCTCTTTGTCTGGTAGGTAAGAGAATATAAAGCACTTCCCACGAAGACCAGAGCAGCTGCTGTTGTTTTACAAACTCACTCTCTCTCTGTGTTGCTGTTCAAATTCTTTGAGGCAGAAAGTATGCAATAACAAAATCATCTGTTCTGCCTTAATTCAAGTGAATTATACAATGTAGTTGGGCTGCACTTTAATGTATGATTTTTCACTTAAGATTTGAGATACACTGCACATTGTAATTATAGACCAACCCGAATTTATGAGGCTTAATTTGAATGATTTGATAGATTGACTTTTAAAGAGCTAAATTTAAATCTTATTGCATTATTTATGAAATTCTTTAATAATCTGAATTGGTTACTACAAATGATCAGAAGTAGCCTGGACTACAGCATAAATCATGCAATTGTCTTCTTGGCTCCTCTGAAAATCTGTACTCAACTGATTGGCCATGAGAAACCTAAACAGATGATCAAATGATTATATTGACCAAAACTATGAAATAAAACTGGAACGTTACACAGAATAAAAATAAATATCTAATATTTGCTAATTTTTAGAAGTGACTCTATAAACAAGCAAAGGTTACATTAAACTGAAAATATTAAAACATAAATAGGTGTGTCCTTAAATAAAAATTACAAAGCAATAATATGGACGCATGTCTAGCTCTGGTAGACAGAACAAGGATGTATTTTAAAATCTGATCACTACTTATTCTATTATAAACTGGCAGTATCAAGAGACAGATCTTACACCTGATAGTTATCATTGTAAGGTCTCATATACAAATTGCATCTTCAAATGTTCCTATGCCTTTTTATGGGTGGAACTTGTATTCGATATTTCACTATTCCCCTCCCCAGTATTAATAAATGATTCTTCACTATTCTACCATCCTGTACCTGCCCTTTAAGTACCTTCTGTACCATGAATAAATTCTTCATTGTGATGCTGTGCCAACCTAAATTAATCACTTGAAGACAAATATGGTCTTCAAATGGTGGTTACTACCACTTGATGATTCCTTCAAGTATCACAGCTAAGACAAATAACTTACCAATGTAGGGAACAGTACAATAAAGCCACATCTAGCAATTATTTTACATTACAGTTGAGTGTACCTTTTTCTTACATCAAAGCCCTTGCCAATATCTATAAATTAAAATTTGATAAATGTCTTATTCATATTTTCAAAAGGAAGTTAAATATCAGCAGTAAATGTATTATGAAAAACTAAAATCTACTGCAACTTTCTCATTTTCCCTTTATTGTCACAATAAGGTATTTTAAAACACAACCTTGCTTATGTTAATTAGTAGTAAATAGAAACTGAATGATGGTCAATCTGGTAAAAGACAGTTTTGCTTATCAAGATAATGCATATAACACAGCATGACAAAGAAAAATAAATGAAGCAGAAAGATCATGAGATACAAACACAGTTCTTGATTACAAAACAGTTAAAAGCGATATACCCTCATTAGTGGTCAAGATGAAGGCATTTCATTTTAAATGTTTTGTTACGGTGTAAAAATTGTGGATGGAAAGCTGTGAAAGTGATTGAAGCAGGTGCTATTTATGAGAACAAAATGTATAACTTTTTGAAAATATTTGGAATTGTGGAGATAGGATGTATAAAGTATAACATCATAGGAAAAAAGAAGAAAATGCATAAATACATTGCCACTGACGAACATTTAGCTCAGTAACAAATTAACTAATTTGTACTGTACAAGTATTTTCTAAATAATATGCAACCCTAAAACCTACCTAGTTCTGGTTGTTCAGTTTGTCCTTGATGTTTTAGTTTCCTCTTCACATAGCTCATCAACCAGGCAAAGATATGGACATCACAGTGCACCGATATGTCTACTTCCTGCCAGCGTTGTGCATCAACAGATAGATACTCAGCAAAGTACTTCATCTCACTGACTAGTAGATTCCGAGGACAAACAAAATCACGCTTCAGGTTTTTGGATTCATCACAAACATGGATTACCATGTTGGGCCTTTTATGAAAATAAAAGCATCTTAAAACAATGGCTATAACAAAGACATGGTTCCCATTTTCAAATGGTTACAACTATAATTGAAAAGGAACCAAGATTTGCATTAGCATAAGCATTGAAACTGAACTGCCTAAGGGACTTTGCATCTCGTCTGCTGTAACATTTTTATAAGTTTGCAGCATTGGTTCTGCATCTACTATATCCCCACTCACCTGTGCAGGCTTAATTTCTTAAAATCAATGACAGTGAACATGATCAGTTAGCTTCGAACAATCGGGAATGAGAGATCCCATCTACAGTGAAACACATCCTGAGTGAATATTTAGTTTAGGGACTTTGGAGACAACTTGGGAGTTTGGTGCTGGGGTGAAGAGGTAATTTTTGCTGGCTTTTTTTGGCTCATAGTTTGTAAGGTTATTTTAACAGGATAAATCAAAGCTCAGGGGTCCAACACAAAATAGTGACATCACAGGTAAAACGCAAGTTCACTGGTTGGTGATAGCTACCAATTTGACGATCTATTATAGGTTATCTGCAGATTGAAGGTAAATAGGGGAAATACTTACACACGTCAAAATCAAAGACCAGTACAAAACTTTTAAAAATCAAATTAAGATCTAAGGAACTATGAAAAGAGATGCTGGACCAGGTGATGTTTTGTAACTGCATGATGTGGAAGCTGGTGGACTCCATTGTGACTCAGTGACCACATCTGTTGCAAGTGTTGATTGCTTGAGGAACTCTGCTCAGAATTGATGAGCTGGAGTTTAAGGCTTGAATACTGGGACTTATCAGCAATGGGGAGAGTTACCTGGACACTGTTTCAGGAGGCAGGCACACCTCTTTGATTAACTACCTCGAATTCAGTCAGTGGTCAGGGACAGGAGGGAGTGACTATGAGCAAGACAGGTAGAGGTATCCAGGAGATAGTTCTGAAGGAGCCTCAGCCATTGAGCTTCTTTAACAGGTTTGAGATTATTGCTCTCTGTGTGGATGACCGGGGAGCAGGGTGGGGGGGACAGGAGGAGGAGAAGGAGGCAGGGAAGAGAAATATAGTTCTACTTGGGGATAGTATAGTCAGGAAATAGACAATTGTTTTCTGTGGCCAAAATCATGAGTCCCAAAGGCTGTGTTGCCTGCCTGGTGCCCCGGTTCAGGATATCTCATGTGGACTACAGAGGAAATTGGATTGGGAGGGAAAAGATCCAGTTGTCATGATCATGTAGGTACCAATGAAATACGTAGAATGAAGAAAGATTCTGCTGAGGAAATATAAGCAACTAAGGACTAAATTAAAACGCAGAATTGAAAAGGTAAAAATCTCCTGATTAATATTTCAGCCACAAGCAAATTGGCACAGAGTCAACAAGATTAAAAAGATAAACATGTGGCTCAAAGGCTGGTGTGGAAGAAACGGGCTCAAATTAATGGACATTTGCACCAGTACTGGGAAAGGAGCGAGCTGTTCCGATGAGACGCGCTGAATCAGGCTGGGGTCAGAATCCTGACAAATTGCATTACTAGGGCTGTGGATAGGGCTTTAAACTAAACAATTTAAACTAAAAAATTAAAGTAAACTCTTGCTCGTAGTCACTCCCTCCTGTCCCTGATCACTGACTGAATCGAGGGAGTTAATCTAAGAGGTGTGCGTGCCTCCTGAAACAGTACCCAGGTAACTTTCCCCCTTGCTGATAAGTCACAGTATTCAAACCTTAGATTCCAGCTCATCAATAGTAGGGCGGAAGGTTTACTTCACGGAAAAATATGGAAAAGTTAAAGGGGGTAGGACTCAGCAGAGCTTATTAAAGTTTTCAGAACAAGTAATAGGACAGAGATTATGGAAAGGGTTAGGAATCCAACTTCAGGTACAGCAGATAAGGAGACAACTATGAGAAGGGGGGACTGAGGGTGTTGTACTTAAATGCACACAGCGTATGAAACAAGGTAAGTGAGCTTGTAGCGCAGATTGAAATTGGCAGGAACAATGTTGTGGGTATCACAGGCATGTGGCTGCAAGAAGTTCAAGGCTGGGAACTAAATATCCAAGGATACGTCTTATTGGAAGGACAGGCAGATGAGCAGAGGGGGAGGAGTTGCCTTCTTAATAAGAAACAAAATTAAATCAATAGCAAGAAGTGACATAGTGCAAGAACTGGAAGGCCTAGAATCTGTTTGGGGAGAGCTGTTGAACTGCAAAGGAAAAAAAGACATTGATAGGAGTATGTACAGGCCTCCCAATAATAGGATGTGAGGAAGAAAATAAATCAATAGTTAGAATAGGCGTATAAGAAAGACACTATTACAATCATCATAGGGGACTTCAATAAGCAGGTTGACTGGGAAAATCAAGTTGGTGGCTGCTCTCAAGATAAGGAATTTGTGGAATGTTTACAAGATGCTTTTCAGCTTGTGGTACAGCCCATTTTGGAACAGACGATTCTGGATTTGGCGATGTGTAATGAGGTAGACTTGATTAGGGAGCTTAAGGTAAAGGAACACCTAGGGGGCAGTGATCTTTGGAATACAGTGGAGAAGCAATGGCAGTGAGTATCTGAGGGTACTTCGGGAGCACAGCACTAACTCATCCCAAGGAAGGGCAAACACACTAGGGGGAGAATGAGTCAAGCATGGCTGACAAGGGAAGTGAAGATGCAGTGAAGACGTGGTGAAGATTAGGGGGAAGCTACAGGATTGGGAAGTCTTTAAAAATAAGCAGAGGATAACTAAAAAAGCAATAAAAGGGGTGAGAAGACAAAATATAGCATAAAAGAAGATTGTAAGAGATATTTTTAGACATCTAAGAAAAGGTAAGAGAGTGGCAACAGTGGACATTGGACCCTGGAAAATGAGATCAGAGTAGTAGTAATGGTGAACTGTAGGAACTGAACAGGTACTTTGTATCAGTTTTTATAGTGAAGACTCCAGCAGCACACCAGAACTTTAAGAGAGTCAGGGGGCAGAGGTAGTGGTGATCACTAAGGAGAAGGTCCTGGGGAAGTTGAAAGATCTGAAAGTGGATAAATCATCCAGATCAGATGGACTACACCATAGTTTTGAAGGAGATAGCTCAGGAGATTGTAGCGGCATTGGTGGTGATCACTGGTGTCAGGAAGGGTCCTGGAGGAGTGGAAAATGGCTAATCTAACACCCTTGTTTAAGAATGGAGGAAGACAGAAAACAGGAATCTGTAGGCCGGTTAGCCTGACCTCTGTCATTGGTAAGATTTTAAGTGTCCACTATTAAGGATGAGAGTGTGGAGTATTTGGAAGTGCTATAAAACAGCAAAGACAGCATGGCATTGTCAAGGGGAGGTCATGCTGACAAATCTCTTGGAATTCTCTGAGAAGGTAATGAGCACGTTAGACAAAGGAAAGCCAATGGATTTGATCTATTTGGATTTCTAGAAGTCATTTAACAAGGTACCACAGAGGAGGCTGCTAAATAAGAGCTCACAGTGTTAGGAGCAAGGTACTGGTATGGATAGAGGATTTGCTGACTGGCACAGGCAGAATGTAGGGATAAAGGGGTCTTTTACAGGATGGCAGCCGGTGACTAGTGGAGTTCCGCAGGAGTCCATATTGGGACCACAACTATTCACGTTATATACTTACGATCTGGACAAAAGGAACTGAGGGCATTGTTGCTAAGTTTGGAGATGACACAAAGATAAGTGGAGGGATGGTAGTGTTAAGGAAGCAGGGTGGCTGCAGCAGGACTTGGTCAGGCTAGCGAAGTGGGCAAAGAAATGGCAGATGCAATACAATGTGGGAAAGTATGAGGTTATGCACTTTGGTAGAAAGGAAAAGCTTTGGAAATCTGAAACACAAAGGGACTGAAGGATCCTAGTTCAGGATTCTCTCAAGCTTAGCATGGTTCAGTTGGCAGTTAGGAAAGCAAATGCAATGTCAGCATTCATTTCAAGAGGACGGTACACTAGAGCAGAAATATACTGCTCAGGCTGTATAAGGCTCTGGTCAGACCGCATTTAGAATACTGTGTGCAGTTTAGTACTCTATATCTAGGAAAAGATGTCGGAAACGATGCACTGGCCTTGGAAGGGATCCAGACGAGGTTTACAAGAATGATCCTAGGGATAAAGGGCTTGTCATGTGAGAAGCGGTTAAGGACTTTGGCTCCATATTCCATGGAGTTTAGAAACAGGAGGACGGATCTGACTATAACTTACAGAATACAGAGAGGCCTGGATACAGTGAATGTGGAGAAGATCTTTCCACTAGCAGGATGGACTCAGGCTTGAGGGCACAGCCTCAGAGTGAAGGGACCATTCTTTAGAAATGAGATGTACTCTAGTTCCTTCAGCCAGAGGGTGGTTAATCTGTGGAATTCATTGCCACAGAAGGCTGTGGAGGTCAAGTTATTGAGTGTATTTAAGGCAGAGATAGACAAGTTCTTGATTGGTAAGGGGATCAAGCAGTACAGGGAGAAGGCAGGAGAATGGAGTTGAGAAACATATCAGCCATGATTGAATGGCAGAGCAGACTCGACGGGCCGAACGGCCTAATTCTGCTCCTATCACTTATTGTCTTATAACTAACAATTAGGCTGCGGCAGGTGGGGGCGGGTTGGTGGTGGCAAGGAAGATGTTCGTATTGTAGCTACAGTGTACATTAAGCTGGTAGGCCTGACAATCTGATGGTTGAAGCCCAAGAAAATCAGCTACATTTATGTTTATTCTTTTTTTTAAACAATTAGGTAGATTATCTTGTTTAAACACCATAACCCTGAAGCATTAGAGATCATTATTTTAGCATTATTGCCACATAGATATATGGCCAACAAGATCTGATGTTTATACAGCTAAAATAGCATTCAAACGCATAGGAACATGGATTTAAATTTTAAACATGGGATTCAAGGCTCCATGACATGCACTTACTCAGTTCACAAAAATAAAAGCCATGGAGTCACATGTAAGTGATGTTCTGATGAGAACTAGAATGTTGTCAAGCTATCACAGGTAAACCTCAACATATGTCCCTTTGATATAACGTTCATTTAGACTTCAATATTTTGGTAGGTTTTGAATTCACTGAAACATATGCTGAGGTTTTACCTTTCTTAAGAAATTAAACATGGTAGAATTGTGTTTATGAAAACACTGGTATGGAAAAGATGCTGTATCTTAAATTACTTCCAACATTATTTCAATATATGCATTTTGTCAGTTTCATTAAAGGTATTACTTGAAGATTCTGTGCTCCAAAGGGACTGATCAATGATTAATAGTTCTTCTCGTAGAATGGGTATTATCTCAAGCGTGATCCTGAAGTCTGAGCGTGCGCAATGTGTAATTTTCCAGATGCATCAGCACCATTTAGCTAGCAAACTATTGGATCTTTTTCTGCAAACTTAAAATTTACTTGGCAGTTTTTCCAAGATTATTTTGCAAAATGCTGGGGACAAAACACAAAAGTTAGATTTGTGTAACTATATTTATGACAGTGGTGGCAAGTGTGATAAAGATGGAAAAATTACCAAGTTAAACCAATTACT